TTTTTTTTTTTTTTTTTTTTGATCCCTTTTCCAGGTCATTCCTGAATAGGATGAACCACAACTTCCCATGTGGTAACCTTCTTCCATAGTAAACATGGATCATACCTCTCACTTAGCTGAGTGTCTTTTACTTTTACAAATAGCCAAATTCACTCCATTTGCTCTGATAATATTGAATAACTTGATCAATATACCATGGAATTATAGCTGGATGGAAAAGAAATTTTTTTCTACTCTGTACCTATAATGGACAGTCTTTACTTCTTGTTTTTTAACCAGATCTGTGGAGGGACCATCCCTCTTACCCAGTCTGGGTTTGCTGCTTTCTTTTCCTGTTTTGTCCCAGGTCTCATCCATAATGCTTCAGGTATTAGTCTTCATCTCACTCCTTGTGATCATTTCCCATTGCCATCTGCAGTCCCACAGATACCATAACAGGCATCCTGCCTCTGCTGCCTGAAAAATGATTCATCCTTTGCTTTATTGGGTTGTTTCTCTTTCTTGGCCAGCTTCAGTATGGTTTTCCTCTTAACCTGCGAGAATTTATCTGCTCATTTTTTTTCCCTTTGTTTGAATGTTACTTCCACATTTTAGAGTGATTTTTTTTTTTTTTCCAGTAACTGAGGACACAGAGCTCAGCCCTCCAGGATGCTTAGTTCCAGCCTGGGGGCTTTCCTGATTTTGCTGCTTTCCGTCTACCTTTAATTTTAAAATTCCCCTGCAGTCTTTTTAATTTTGAATGGAGAAAATGGATATTGATGTGTCTCTAATATTAGGTTCTAGCCCTGAATTTGTACTGAAATATATCTTAAAGCAGAGATAAAACTGTTTTGATCCATGTAAATATATGCTTAGGAACAGTAAAACTCAGAGGACTACTCATGTTGATATTCAAGCATGGAAAGATAAAGAAGATGAGTATTGGGAATACCTCTGCAACCCCAATTTTGCCTCTCAGGCACCTAAATATAAATATATATATGGAGACATACTGTAACTACATGGCATAATGGTATATTTTCCATGGTGTCATTCAGTGCAAAACTTGATTGAAGCCCATCAATGAGCATCTGTTCCTCTGGGTAGGAGTAGCCAGAGGAATCCTTACCCAGGCTTACTGGTACCGCTCAGCCGTGCTGTTGTGAGATGCCTTCAAGGCATGAATTATTTTCTTAACTCATTTGCAAGGAAAATGGATGGTTTTATCTCTGTTGGCGAAAAGGAAGATGAGTCAAACCCTTGGGTCCTGGCAGGTCCTTGCCCAGGTGGTCCCCACCATCTGTGTGCTCCAGCAGCTTTTTCCTGCATGGGCCTCACTGATCTCACATGCTTCAAACAGGTCTCACACTGAAGTTGGAGCTTTTCCTGTGAACTCTCAGAGAGACATTAAACTTGGTGGAGCTGAAGCAAATCTTTACCATAACTTCTCAGGGGAGACTTCACATCGTGTTGTTCTGCTCGTGCTGATGGGCTGGTTTTTGGGTTAATTTTGGTCTATTTGTATGTGCTTGTAAAACTCATTTAGTGGTAAAGTATCCATAATACCTGCTGAAGACTGAAGTTGCACTGCCCTGGTTTGGGCTTCTCCTTGTTCTTCTATTCTTTGCAGTCTTCCAATGCACAGAGGGTTGGGCGTTTCTTTATGTAATGGCTTCACTGTGTGCAAGAATAAAATTCCAGTTGGGAATAGAGCCTTGGTGCATGAGCTGCTGTTTATGCAAGTTCCAATACAGCTGTTGATAGAGGTGCCACGTCCTTACCTGGAAAGGGGAAGATCTCTTCCTCATCCGATGGATAGAAATTTGAGTTTTGGAGGTTTTGAAGTGACAAGGTCTGTAGCAGACTTGCTGATCATTATGATTTTTGATGTTTTAGCTGTAGGCTTCCCAGTGATGTTCCCTTTCAATGCATGAAGCTGATAGCCTGGTAAAATGAAAATGCTAGTGGTGCCTGGGCACGTTGCCCTGCTTCCCTACCCATCCCCTCTCTCCTTGCAGTGCGTGACATGTGGGAAGGGGTTTAAGAAGCTCTGGTCCCTCCATGAGCACAACAAGATTGTCCATGGATACGCTGAGAAGAAGTTCTCCTGTGAGATCTGTGAGAAGAAGTTCTACACCATGGCCCATGTGCGCAAACACATGGTTGGTGAGTGTGGGAGGCACTGGTGCCAGGGGAAGATTTCATTAGGGGTGTTCATCCATTATTTTGGCAACAAAGGGCATTTTTTCCATCGCTGTCATGTTGGGAGTTTAGGGCTGGGCTTACTCTTGGATGAATTTTCTCACATTAAGGCAGGGGCATTGAAATTTGGCCTGGTATTTTAATGATTAATGTATCCTTGGTGCTGGGTTTGGAGCAATCAGGCATGGTGCTGGGGAATCTCATTTATTTTATTTAACCAGAAAAAAAAAGACCTCAGAAGTGATCAAAGGAGATTTGAAGTGAAACCATCCTTCCCGTGTAAAACAGGACCAGTCCACACCAGCGCTGGGCTTTGGGAAGCAAACTGCACATGGCATCGGCACTTGGGTCCTTGGGGCTTGCAGGCACCAAAGAGAGATCCAAAAAAAAGGGGGGTTTTGGCAGGCAATTAGGGAAGTACCTGAAATGTTGCTGCCACACATCTTCCCAAGATGGCTTTGGGTTTGCTGGGCTTGGGTGTCCGCACCGGGAGCAGCAGCCGGGGCGTGGGGAGATGGATGCTGGAGGTGCGGGGAGGGCACCTGACCCTGCTTCTCTCTGCTTCAGCTCACACCAAGGACATGCCATTCACCTGCGAGACCTGTGGGAAGTCCTTCAAGCGCAGCATGTCTCTCAAGGTCCATTCACTCCAACACTCTGGGGAAAAGCCTTTTAAATGCGAGGTAAGGTCCTGTGTGTTGCCTCACCTTGCATCCTCTCAAACAAGGACAAAAATGCTGATTTGGGGAAAGATCTCCCACTTCCTAGGGCTTCCCCTGTGCTTTGTGCCAGTGCTGCTGTAGGAATGCTCCCATGCTCTTCCAAACCTTGCATCTCTTCCTGGTTTGAGGGTTCCACCAACCTTATGATGACACTTGTCCAGTGCCAGGATCTGTCCCTCCAGTGCCCAGACCTTGTATCCCATTTGGCCTGCAAACCTGGCTGGGTTGTACTGGAAAGCCATTTATTTGGGTTCTTTTGGGGGGAAAAAGAGGATTTCTGCACCGCTCTGACACGCTGGTGATTTGGGGAGGAACGTTGGGGGTGTTTTGGGTGCTCATCAACAGCTCATGGCCCTCTCACCCCGGCAGAACTGCAACGAGCGCTTCCAGTACAAGTACCAGCTGCGGTCCCACATGAGCATCCACATCGGCCACAAGCAGTTCATGTGCCAGTGGTGTGGCAAGGACTTCAACATGAAGCAGTACTTTGACGAGCACATGAAGACACACACGGGTGAGAGTTCCCCACCTTGCCCCCAGCCCCTGCGGGCAGGCACCCCTGGGGAAGGAGCGATGGGATGGGAGTAGCATCTTCGGGTGGATGGCAGGATGGGGTTTGTGGGAGGACGTTCCAGTCACCGGCTTCTCACCCGTCTTCCCCCATCCTTAGGTGAGAAGCCCTACATCTGTGAGATCTGCGGGAAGAGCTTCACCAGCCGCCCCAACATGAAGCGGCATCGCCGGACCCACACAGGCGAGAAGCCCTACCCCTGCGACGTCTGCGGCCAACGCTTCCGCTTCTCCAACATGCTCAAAGCCCACAAGGAGAAATGTTTCCGTGTCAGCAACCCCTTGGCTTTGGACACAGCCGCCCCCCAACCTGCTGCCAGCCCAGCCCCACTGCCCCCCGGCCCTGGTGTCTCCCCGCTGCCCTTGCCGCTGCTTCATCCCCTTCCACAGACCCTCCCTCCTCCTCCTCACCTACCGCCACCCCCTCCGCTGTTTCCTGCAGGGAGGATAAATTTGAACAACAACTAGGTGCCCCCCACCCTGGCTATGCGCCCGCACGGACTGCTCTGCCCTTTGGGAATGCCTCCCCTGGGGAGACAAGGCTTCACTTACTCTCTGCCCCCCCTTCCTCCTCATTTTGGGGTTGTTTGGGTTTTTTTTTTTCGGGGGAGCAGGAGGAAGCCCCTCCCTGAGGAGCATAGGTGTTGGAGGAGGGGTACCGCAGTCTGTCCATAAGGGTGTAGGTAAAAGGCGTCGCTCTCCTTTCACCTTCCCACGCATTGGCTTCATCTTCGCGCCGGAATGCTGGCAGGGCTCCGAGGAGCAGGATGCCACGCCGTCTGGGGTTGAGCTCACTGGCGTCGCGTGCCCGCTTGCTAGCCAAGTGAATGCCTGCTGGCGCTTTGATATTTATAATAAGCCGAAATCTAGCTAGTGGTGCTTGAATCCGTGTACTGTAAAGCTGGTCTTTCAATTCAGGCTCTTTTCCCAAGAGGTTGAGAGGTGGGCACCACAGAGGAGCCCCCACCGGCAACGTCTGCTGGCCCCAGTGGCCTGCGGCAAGTGAACAGATGTCCCCTTTGGAAAGTTGTCAGCCTGCTCTTATTAACATCGCTCGCTGCATCTTCTTTCCCCATGACAGGTTTTTCTCCTCGATAGGTGAAAGCACAAACACCAGTGTTGCATCTTGGGGCATTGGCAGCTTGCTGCCGGTTCATTTTTCGGGTGCCCTAAGGGAGCTGGGCTATGGTGTGCCCTTTCCGCTAATTCCAGCAGGAGCTGGGCTCCTCAGGATGCTCTGGAGTTGGCCAGGTGTCCCTGGGAGAGCTCACATGGCCTTGGGACTGGCAGGAAGGTGGCCTGGGACAGAGGAGCAGGATTTCACTGTTTCTCAGCAGAATCAGCCCAGAATAGTGCCTTAACAATTTGAATAAACCCCTGACTGATGGGTGAGCTCCAGGTTGGGTCCCGTTGCAAGGTTCAGAGCTAAAGCAAGACCTCGTTCAGCCTGATGACGATATCCCATCCTCGAGCATGTTGCCCACATCGCTCTCCCAAGCTTTGCCTCTCCCTGTGAGGTTGGTAGCAGTTGTCCTGCCCTGGCCTGCAGGGACCAGTGAGAGCTGTGATGGGTTTGGTGATGCCCAGTGGTGTTGGTTAGCGCTTCTCTGGCCACATTGTACCTGTTGAAGTTGAGTTGGTCTTTGGTTTCACTTAATTCAGGCTGGCTTCATGCTGGCGAGGGAGAAGAGGAAGGCTTTGCTCGTACCTTTTTGTGGGACACTGGGCTCTAAGCTGGGTCCCTCACTGCTGTGCTCTGCCCTGGGGTGTCATGCCTCGCCATGGCTGTGTGGTCTTCCTGCATGGGAAAGTGTCCCCTTTGGGGCCGGGGAGAGCTGGGACTGCTACAGGGGCTGCGGAGCATCCAGCACAGGCAGAGATGTGCCACCCAAGGGGTGGGGTGCATTGCAGCTGATCCCTTGCTCCTAAGGCTGGCGCTGTGGATGTGTGCGGATGGGGGTCAGGTCATGGAGAAGGTGGTGAGCAGGGCTGCTGGTAGGCAGGAAGGAAGAGGGGACATTGAGCAGGCTTCAGGAGCCCTTTCTCGTTTGCACCTTGTTCTGGGTCTTAGCAGGGTGCTGGGGACAATGAACTGTATCTGGCTTTGCAAGAAGTCTTGGTGCTTCATCTCCTGGACCAAATCAGCAAAGCACTTGGGCAGCTTTGAGGCTGTCCCTACAGAGATGGGAGGGTTCAGCCGTGTGCTCAGGGGCTTTGCTGACCAGGGACATGCAAGAGCATTAGCCTAATAGGGGCAGAACAGGGGAGCATCTGCTGTTCCCCTGAGTGCTCTTTGAGGTGATGGGTTGGGTGACTGGTGTCCTCTCCTGCCGAGTGTTGCCTACTGTGCCTGTCATCTCTGGAAAGCTGGCTACTCTTGCGGGTATTAGCATGTTGGAGCAACAAATTGTTTTTATCCTTGTGTTGGCTGGAGTCCTGTGGACCCCCAGTACTGCCATCAGTACCAGTGAGTTCACCCTCATCTCCATCTGCCTTGAGCAAAAGGAGGATGCTGTGGCAGAGCTGTCTTGCCACATTGACTGTCTCAGATGGGTACCAAAGGCTTCTCTGCCCTCCTTCCTCCATGACCCGGGGCTTATTGGGATGGCACAAAGCCTTCTCAAACACACATCCATGAGGGATGTGGGCACTCAGCTCTTGGGGCCATTGGCTTTCTGAAGGGACCATGACCCAGACTGGAAGACGATTGCTTTAGAGAAGCACCTTGTAGGTGTTGGAGGGCCACAGTAGAGTGGTCCATGCTGTTTCCTCCTCCGCTGCCTCCTAGATCCCATCCCCTTGGGCTCCCTTGTGCTTCTTTCCCCTCACACTTGGCTTTGAGATGGAATGGGAGCACTCTACCCTAAGGAGGCCTCACCTTGCCTGTATGGTCTTCTGTGATGGAGCCCATCAGCCTGGCTGGCTGGTAGACTTCTCCCCACAAGTAAACACCCATGCCAACGTGTGCTCCTTTGTACTGCTCACCTGGAGATGGCTTTCCCTGTCCCTGTCCCAGTTCATCCTATCCCAGTGAGGACCTGTCTCACTTGGATGTCACTGTGAGATGAGAGCACCTCGTTGAGGCTAGAAGCCCAGCGGAAAGCCCAGTGACTGATCCCAGCTGTATCCAATCCCCTTTGAGAGCGTGCTCGTAGAGCCACTTGGAGATGTTGAGATGTGACCATGCACACAGCACTTTGGAGAACCAGATCCCTGTTGCTCTCTCCCCTCTCCTAAGGCCTGGGCAGTTCCCAGGTGCCCTATACGGCCTCCAGCCCTTTTGTCTACACTCAGCCCCAATGTGTCTCTTCGTGTCTGGTTTTCGTTAATGTACTAGGAGTTCAAACAAGTTGCTCCCACAGTGTCTTGTCCTGCATCTATCCCAGTCAGCCCTGTTGGCACCCTTTGGGTTAGACGGGGCAGGAGGCGGGGGAGTTGGGTCCGTTGTTTTCAAGCTTTTTATGTTTAACTTTAATTTTTTTTTTTTTAATTCTTGCACCTTAATCTCTCGCATCCCTTCTTCAACAGACAGCGAGGGTGGAGAGGGGCTTGATTTCCATTACACAGTTTGTGAATATGCCACAACACCATGTTCAGCTGACAAGTCTGCCCATGCACCTAACCCCAGACCTTTCCGGGTTTGAATTTTTTTTCCCCCATCATTTGAACTCTGGGGAGGGAGGGGATCACATGGGGAGGGTCATTTTTGGTTTATATATCCCAGGAGCCTGGTAGCACAGACCAGTTAGCCTCAGAATGCCCATGAGGCAGTGCTGGCCCTTCGGACCACAGCCATAACCCCAGCGTGGTGGGAAGGTGATGATGGATGGACGGCCGGTGGATGGGAACGGCTGCAACAGTGCAATAGAGACGAGCATCCGCTGCTAGACAACTCCACTGATTAAACTCTTGGTTTGCCAGAAGTCAAGAGAGAAGGTTGGACGGACAGAAGCCCTTTGTTCACACGGACGGAGTGAGCTTCCCCACACGCAGTTCTGCCTAGTGACACGTGACCATGACAGGAGTTGGGTCGAACTTGCAAAGGAAGAAAATAATAATTATAAAAAAGGAAAAGAATAAGAGTAAGAACAACCTCAGTAGCTTGGAACTTGAAGGAAATTAATGAAACCCCAAACACTTGCTTCAAAACTAGGTCTGGTGTTTGGCTCTGTATTTTACGGCATTCAGTATCAGTTGCCCAGTCATGCCAAGTTAAGAGTGTATCAGTGGCTCTACTAGTGTGAACAAAATAAATGAAGCACTTTATTCTGTATAGATAAGGGAAGGTGGGGAGGGGAGGGGAAGCTTGGATGCTTTTCAGAAGCATCTTAAGTAATGTTCTAGGAAATGTATTATTATTACTTTTTTTTTTTTATGACCATGTGTAATCAATATATGTTTATCTTTAACTCCAAGTACAGCAGTTACTCTCTTTGGGATGGTATGATGAGGGGGAGGCTGAGATGGTTGGGTTAGTCCATCAGCGTGGGGCCAACGGGGGCAAGTCATTGCCTACCGCAGGAATGGGCGAGTCTTGCTTTTTTGACGGCCCCATTGGCCAACGTCTGGGTGGTCCCGCAAGGCTCATCAAAGCTGCCTTCCAGGGCACAGCTCACAGCCAGCTTTGACACCAAGGGCTCAACATGCATCCCCATCCCAAGCCATCTTCTGCCAGGGGGTGCTGAGGCTGCTTTCTGGGCCACCCACGAGCAAGATGAGTCATGGTAGGCTGGTTTGGGTTTCCCTAGAAGCCAAGTCCTTGGCTGTGCTTTGAAACCTGCTTTTGGCCTCTCACCAAGGCACGTCAGGGTCACTGAGCTCTGAAAGTGGCGAGAGGTCAGAACTGGGCCTTTCCACTGCGTTCTCCCAGTCTGGAAGTGTTATGACTGTTACCAAAGAGGTTGCAAGTGGAAAGACTGAATCAATAAATGATTTGTCTTTTATAAAAGAAAACCTGAAGCTCTACCACTTTTTTTGTTACCTTAATTTTGTGGTTGGTTGGTTGTTTTTTTGTTTGTTTGTTTTTCTTTAAAAGGCTCTTGTCAGGCAATTGCGTGAGACGTCAGAGCCCGGCAGGATGGGCTTCCTTTGGCATGTTGACCACTGCCATTGCTTCATATATATAGACCTTGTGTTGGGTTTGGTGGGAGCTGTGTGCATGTGTGAGACAACTAGACTGTTGTGGGGCCAACAAAAACATATCTTTTCAGGGCAAGTTGTTAAGTGGAGAGAGGAAGGGGCTCAGTACTTACATCTCTGCGGATTTTAGAGGGGGTGAGAGCTGAGTGCCTGCGTGCTACTGTCTCCATGAAGTTTGTGTGAGCTATGAGCTGGGGCTCCCTGAGCTCCTCTACAGGCAGTGGAAAAAACTAAGGAGCCCATCCAAAAGCACCTGGTGCCTTTATTGATTTAGAATGGAGCCATGGGAACCTCGCCAGCTAACATCAGCACTGATGTTGGGAAGCTAATGGAAGAATAGGTTATTTCTCCTCACCCTTGGGATGTACCTACTCCTTTGCTGCTGGCATTGCCTGGAGGATATACCTGTCCTGCTGGAGCTGTGTGCATCTGAGCCAGGATAAATGCTGGACAGCAGCAAGGGGCGATGCTCCTCTGAGTATTTATGCTGGTATTTCTTAGCTGTGATTGCCTTTGGACTGAAGCAGCCTCTTGGTGAGGTGGTGGTGAATGTCTCTGGGCCAGACTTTCACTTGGAGATGTACAACTTTGCTGCCTGATTTGGACAGACCCTGGCTTGCACACACTGAGATTTGGCCCTCATTGTTCAAGCAATGGGATATTTCAAGCTTTTCTGGGTCCTTTTATACAACAGCTTATTTTCCTTTTGTGATTTCTTGCCCTGTGCTAGCAGTGGCCTCTCCCACAGCTTTATAATGAATGTAAACCACGTGGGAGCGCTAAGCTCCCACTAACTATTCCCAATGGACAATTGTGAGGTGAGTGACCAAGGATGGGGACCAGTTTTAATCGCCACTTCTCAAGCTGTTTTCGAGCGACCGCGCCATAACAACTCATTGAGGCTCAGCAGCGTTCCCCATTGACTTCAGAGGGCCCAGGAGAGCCAAGCAATGTGGCAGTGGGTGGATGGGGATTAACCCTCTCTTAGGACCAAGTATCAACAGCTTTCCATTCTGTGTTGGGCAAGAAGAGCTGAAGCAAAAGTGTTGGTGTCCAGTCCCAGGCAGGAAGTGGTATCCTGCCACCACAATAAATGACACTGAAAAATTGTTACCCTATGCATGGATTATTTTTCTTCTTCATTTTTCTTTTCTGCCACAAACTAGTTTATATTCGGTAGATTCATCTTCAATTATCTTGGGACTCATCCAAAGGAATTTCTGCAGACCCTGGTAGAAGGTGATTTTTTTTTTCAGTGCATTTTTCACACATTTGATTGTTTCAAAGGTTTTTGTTGCCTTTTTTTTTTTTTAAGCTGCCTTGTGACAGCCAGTCACCTTGGATTTTTTTTTTTTTTTTTTGTGAAAACGTTTCATTGCCTTTCTGATATGATTGTCCTCTAAGGAGATTATCCTGTAACTTTTTAAATCTTTAAAAATGAAACCAGGACAAGACTCTGGTTCCTTTACTCATGACAAATTGCCTTTCCTTCCAAACATGTTTTAGTTTCTCCACAACTGCATTTTGAGTTAGACAAAGCGGCCAGATATGATTTTTTTATACTATAATTTTCATACCACTTTGAAGTTATTATTTTGCAAGGTTTGTATTTGTTCTTTTTTAATATTATCACCCCAGTTCATGGTATGATGATATCACTTAAGCATCCGGCTTCCTTCTAGTCCTAGGTAAGCTTCTAGTCCTCATATCTATGGAGAATGGCTGTAAGGATATAATGCTAAAGTTTCAGCTCCCAAATGGGGGAAAATAAGAAGAATAAAAGCTGGGGCTCTGATAGGGCTCTCCGTGGAGCTGGTTTGCTGTGTGTATGTTCATTACAACTTTTGCTTGGTCCTTCTGTTTGGTTGCTGTGGACATTCAGTTACAGCTCTATCAACACACAAACACAAGGGATTTCTTTTGAAATAGCCTAATTTATTTTTAAATAAGCCACTGGTCAGATGGTGTGGTCATCAGGAGATTTTTGCTCTAGCAGATCTTTGTCCTGCTGCCAGTAGAGTCATATTTCTATCAAAACATCATTATGGATAACATTTAAAAAAAAAAAAAAAAAAAAAGTTTCCTCAGTAGGAAGCTCTCTTTGAGCCAGACACGTCTGAACTCTCCATGTACTTAGCAAACTAGAATACTCTTTAAAAAAAAGGTCAGAACATTAAAAATAAGAGAAACAGCATAAATATAAAACCTTTCCCTGAAAAACAGCACTTGTCCACCCATAGGTGAGGACATTGTGATCTGTGATTGAAAGGCCAGAGGTACACATGGCCTCCCCTGCCCATCTCTCCCACCTTTCCTACCCTATTACTTGCGTGACTCTTCCCCTCCTGCAGACCTTAGTTCCTGGCCTCTCTTCACTCCAAAGTCAAGGTGGAGGCAAAGAACTAAAACTATTTTCTTTTCATTGCAACTTCCAAAGCATTTCTGCTGACCATGCTCACGTGCTCTTTTAATTGTTTCATCCCAACAAGCATCATCACTCAGGAACTCATCGGGGTCCTCCCCAGGTCTCTCCTGTACCACTTGACTTTGACCCTTCCTTTTCCTCTCAAAGATGTGCTCTAGCACCATGCTCACAGCTACCTTTCCTGGGGAATATCAGCTTAATCCCTTGGGATCCACTTGCTGCCTCCACTGTTGGTTAGAGAGATTCAACAGCAATGCAGAAGATGGAAAAAACCATGGAGGAAGAAGCAAAACAATTGTAAGATCTTTTTGTATTGCCTACTAAGACTGGAACAACTCATTGCTCCATGCTTAGTCTACCCCAGCTCCTTGCAGGCTCCCAATCCATTCTCTCATTATCCTGTAAGCATCTTCAAGTTCCCACAGGGCTTCAAGATAGTTTTCCCCTCTCTCATTTGATGAAGTAGAAAGGTACCAATCACAGATGCAATGTCCTACACAGTATCCAGATGCCACATCTCTGCTCATGGCCTCACCTCTCTCCACCCCTCCTTGCCCCAGATTCCCATGGAAATAAAATAAATCACGCCTCGCTACATCTTTGTTAGGCGCAAAACGTTGAGGCGCACCGGAAGGAAAGTGGCACCAGAGGCATACTGGATCTCCCGGAGAACCCCTTCCCACTTCTTCTGCTCTTCATCATATCTGGGGAGAGACAGACAGTTACAGTGAGGAAGGTGATTTCTCCCCCTTCAGCTGCTCTCCGTAGTGGTGGGAGCCCTTGACACATTGTGCGATGTCCCACAGACATTACTCAGCCACAAGATATTTGTGGAAGCTGCATGGGGACTTTCAGCTCTGATTTGCAGTGCCAGGCTAGGGGATATGGCTATCAGCATGTGGTCTCCCAGGGGAGGGTGTATTTTCCCATTGGGAAGCAGGCGGATGGCACCAAGACTGAACATCCATGGTGAAGGCCAGCACATGCCTGCTGAGGGTGCTCTAGAGCCACAGATGTGAAGGACAGGAGCAGCTAACGCTACGTTAGCAGCCATATCAGAAAGTGCTTTCTATTTGCTTCTCTGCTCGCATGTGAGACTTAGCTGATTTCCAGCCCAAGCACTGGCTTTTCCCAGGGAGAGGATGCATTGCACAAATACTGCTTCATGCCAAAGGGGAGGTCTGGAACCAGCTCTGGGCAAAATGTCAATGCAACAACAAAGCTAAAGGAGTAGATTTTCCCTCGTACATTGCTATGTGAAGCTGGGAGATGTCACTGAATCACCTAATGTGCCCTCTAGCACAGCACAGGGCAAACTTCTCACCAGAGACCCTGCAACGAGCCTGCAGCCTTGTGCTTGGGTAACAACATCCATCTCATACTGAAGGCATCAAGAAAGACAGAAACTATCTGTTCCCACAGTGGCTTTCACTAATATCCCTCCCATGCTCCCTTGGGCAGCCCTGGGGAAGACCGTCACCTCCAAACATCATTCAGCTCCGTTGGCACCAGCTCTCCCGACTCTGTCTCCACTGTGGCGAACCCTCCGAGCAGGTAGAGCACCCCAGACAAGCTCACCAGGCTGACAGAGCTGCGCTCCTGCGGGAACTCAGTGAAGGTGTCCCACCTGCCGTGTCAAGAGAGGGGACATGTTAGGGCACCCTGCCTACCCCCATGTTGAGGTTGGCCTCGAGTCAGGAGCCAACAACTGAATTAACTAGTGACAGTTTAACTTGTGTAGGACTAAATGGGATGGGATCATACACTGACTGTTGTTAGAAATATCTGTTTCCATCACCATAATTCAACTTCCTTTTTCATTGAGTAGATGAGCTATGAAGCACACCTGGCATAGACCAGCAGGTCCCAGCGGTCGGACTGCAGCTGCAAGGCCTACCCAAAGTCAAAGAGCCTTGGGTGAAGCTGTCAAGATGAAGCTATAGCCCTGCAGGGAACCCAAGGACTGCACGTATTGGTGAAACTTCTTTGAAGGTGAGCCTGAGATGATCCACAGCCCAACTGCAGTGTCATTGGTGATGTCCAGATGTCTGAGAAATACAGGCTGGGAGGAACTGTATTCGGGATTTGCAAGCAAACTCCAGAATGGCTGGAAGTTGCTTAATGTACACCTGTAGCTGCCTCTAGCTGCGCCAGGGCAGGGTCAGGCTGGCTCTGAGGAAGGATTTCTTTGCAGAAGGGGCTGTTGGGCGTTGGAATGGGCTGCCCAGGGCAGGGGGGGAGTCCCCATCCCTGGAGGGGTTGAAGAGTCAGGGCGACATAGCGCTGAGGGATCTGGGGGAGTTGGGAATGGTCAGGGTGAGGTTAACAGCTGGACTAGATGATCTTCAAGGTCATTTCCAACCGAGGTGATTCTGTGATTCTGTGAAGGTATGCTCAGGTACGTACTTGTTGGTGGCAATGTCATAGACTTCCACTGAGTTGGTCAAGCCGGAGTCAGTCACGCCAGCTGCCACATAGATTTTGTCCTTGTGCACGGTGGCTCCAAACAAGGAGCGTGACGTTTTCATGGGAGCCATCTCTTTCCACTCAAACTTGGATGGGTCGTAGATACACATCTTCTTCAGGCACTTCCTAGAGAAATATGAGAGAGAAAAGGAGCCTTGATTGCTTGCCGAGGAGCAGATCTGTGCTGCAGGAGTTTAGGGATGTCTGCTGGGAAGAACGTGGGGTCTCTAGAAGGGATTTTGCTCTTTTACATCAGCATGAGTGCCTTTGCTTGAGTGTGCACCCAAGGGTGCCCATGTCTGAGTACATCGTTTGTGTATGTAACATATCCCCTCCTGCTGTGTCTGCTTCAGGAGTCCTAAAACCTCAGCATTGTGTTCACACAGCTGGATGTGGGTCGACGTAGCAAACTGCCTCTCAGGACCTCACACACAGCCGTCAGAGTGTTTCAGTGCTCCTGATCCAACTTGACACTGCAAAATATCATCAGGAACGTCCTCAGGTATGTGAATGTATGCACGCTCACACTTTTCAGACCATAATCCTTTCAGAGCAGGACCTATCTTTGCTGGATTATGGCATGTTTGCTCTGCAAACAGTCACACTTCTGCTTTGCAAAGCAATTGCTGCAATGCTCCCTGAGAGAAGCTTTTCCTTCTGAGCCTGTCTCCTGCAGGAGGGCAGGGTAGGGGTCAGGTTTGATGAGGTTTTTCACTCCTATTGCAAATACCCAACTGGATTTAACGACTAGGACCATGCTGGTCCACAAAAAGTCTAAGATGGGAGACCCTGAATGTGAAGGGACTTCCTGCTCTTCAGTGCATCTTCCAGTCTGTGCAACTTTTATTTATTGTGAGCAAAGGGGATGATACATTTGTTCCCTTTTCTGCAAGGACAGTGCCATCTCCCTGATGTTCCTGTAGGACTCCTATGGGCTGGGGAAGGGCTGCAGTCACAGAGGTGAGCTGAGAGGGAAGGATCCACACAGCATCCAGGTTGGGGAGGTATCAGCTCATGCTCTGCACTCTCACTAGTTTGGGGGATGACTTCCTGAATTTGTCTTTTTCACTTACTTGTCGCTTCCTTTGCCACCGATGACATAGATGACATCCTTGTGCGATACCACCGCGTGGCCGTAGACAGCATAGGGAAGGGAATCAGCTTCACCCCACTTGAAGGACCTGGATCAGAGAAAGATGGGAAGCAAAATGATTTGTAGCTTGCTGGGTGAGGCCTAGAGTACACGGCACATTACAGACCTAGACATGAGCACAAATCCTGACTCAGTCTCAAAAATATGAGGTTTTCAATGAGATGGGGCTCATCTAGTAAATTCCGTGATCGTAAATGAAAGGGGAAAATAAAACATGCAGAAAGGTTATGCTAATATTAATTATTTTCTGCAGCATCCCCTACTCTTGGGCTTTGTGGATACACACCCCCATTTCTCCCAGGACATCACCTCACTTATAAGCATTACCAACTGGTCACAAATGAGACAGATTTTTACATAATGAAAAAAAAAAATTAAAACCAATGAGACTTGAGGCTGCAAGATCCTGAGGACAAATTACTTTTGGCCATTGCTTTCCACTTTGAGGTGCCTTGGTTGGCCAGCACTCAGCAAGGACCCACAGTATGTCCACATTTTGCAGTGCGAGGCTGTGTTGATGCCTCTGAGCTATCTCTGGGACAGCTGAGCAGAAGATGTAGCTATAATTATGGCTTTGGAAACCCAAAACTAGTACTCAGATAGGGCTGACCAGTTTCTCAAGTAGTGTCTGTTCATGTCCATGTAGCTTAGACTCATCCCTGGCTTTCATACATGTAGGATGTAGCCCCCGAGACATGCACTTTATTATACCTAAGAGCTGAGTTGCTTTCTGATTTGATCCCATAGACCAGCAGTTTGCCCTCTTCAGGGTTATTACAGTTGAAATATTGACCTAAATAATGCTAGAAATGTAAGTGGTGATGATCACATCTCTACCAGCTTCAAATCGGTATTCAGATCACCCCCTGAGCACTTAGTGGGGTCAGACACATCCTTTCCCAGAGTCTGCAGGGGCAGATAAATGCCCCGTTCTGTCAGAATGAAACTGGTTTCAAATCTCTGCCTATAAAACAGACTTTGAAGCACACACATCTAAATATAGAGCAAGCATAGGCTTGTTAACGCCTACCGCTCTGCCTCGTTGGGGAAAAGAGCAGCAGTCTCTGGATGTTTCTGTCTCCTGTGAGCAGAACAGGATGGTGACTTTTAATAAAGCTCATGACCTAACATGGGTCAGAGCCCACTGTACAAAAATAATCAAATATTAAGCCTGATATCAATCAGGATGGGCCATTCAGTGCCACATCTGAATATTTTCAAAACAAACTTTCCTGTTCAAAGCCATTCCTGGTGAGACCACAGTGAATGCCACTGAATCTCCAACCAATGGACAAGAGAATAAGGAAAAACTCTTCTTGCTCCTCTATACAGGTCTCACATGAGCTTCTACTAAGATCAGTCCCCCCATAACATAATATCCCCGTTAAGTCTTCTATCTCTGGGAGGTTCAATTACAATAAACAAAGCAACTGGAGAGAAACAGCTTAGAGCTCCAGGGTACAGCTTCAGACAGTCCCAGTGGTCCCAGCATCTAGATACGGAGTTTAAGCCCGGTCTCCTTTTGGCCCCTGGAGAACTGGAATTGTTTTGCATGGCAGCTGCTTCACCTTCTCCTGTAAACCACCTCCCGTCCCGCACTCATGTGTGAACACTTACAGCCGGTCGTAGCACAGGACAGAATCCAAGGTCTTCTCTCCCTCTTTCAGTTCTTTCCCTCCAACCACAAAAATGGAGTTTTCCGCCTCTCCTAGGCCAAAGAGGCAGCGAGGGGAGGGCAGAGGGGGCATCCCCAGCCAGTCTGCATCCAGATGGTCGTACTGAAAGGAAACACATAGACATTAGTGTGTGCTCGCCCAGTCCATTGCTTAGCAAAAATCAGGGTCTAGAGGCTGAGGGCAAAGTCCATTCCCACGTGCAGCTTGGTCACCCCAGTAGGCACTTTCTGCGATACTAGTTTCTGCCTGTGCCTCAACCATCTGGTGCAGGATGGGAGATCTTAGTGAAAACCCAAGTCATCTGTCATATGACGTAAGTTTTATAACAAGGCATAAGAACAGAGATGCATCAGCATGAACATGTTCTACTCTATGCACCAAAACCTTGACTTGGAACAAGCTTGGTTGTCTTTGGATAAGAAAGTCCCATGTTGGACCTATAATGGATAGTTCCTGGGGCTGAAGGAGCTGAAGCACTTCAATCTTGGAAATTTTGCCTGAACTTCTTCAGAAGTAGCACACACCACAGTATTTTGTCCTGTATTTGTTCCCATCTCTGCCAGGTAACAGCATGGTGTTGGCAATGTTGGCTACACAGCTCACTCTCCTGAGCCCCTTCTTTTTCCATCAGTTCTTTCTGTCAAATGATCAGTTATCGTGTTCTTCAAGACACTGATGTTGTCCTTTATCACCTCAGAGAGCTCATGAGATGAAACGTGTGTCCATCTGCACAAAGGCTATTTACACAATACCTATCTACCCAATGCAGTACAACACAATTGAGACAGTACAACAAAGATCAGAGCTCTTCTTTCTGACCAAAGTGTACCAGACCCATCTGGTAGCTGGGGAAACTGATCCATACAGTGCTACTAGATCAGATGGCCAAATCCTTGCAGATCCTTGGATATCTGTAGATCAAGGCATTGCCTCATTTCCCACCAGAAAAAGGATGTGAAATATTATGAGGCTGGAGGGGGTCTCTGGGCACGATGTCTTGATGGAAACTGTAAACTGGGGCAAAAATTTTTAATGTAGTTTGGTAGCAGAGGAGGGAGTGAGGTCTTCCAGCCAGTTTGGTGGGGCTCTGCAAGACAAAGCTGTGATGCAGCATTGCCTGAAGCACTGTTTGCTATGGTCTAGGGAAAAAAAGCTTCAGCTTCCTGAGTTGCCTCCAAAGACTCGGCCTCAGATGGGTGCCTGTCCTTATTGCCTCTTTGTAAGATGTGGTCCACATAGGTGTTATTTATAGTGCAAACCCGAGCAGCTCAGTCACTAGGATAGTTCCTGATTCTTGATGGATTCAGCATTGTTTTCAAGTCATAGATCTTAGAAATGACAAGTAAAGGATACCCTTTTCCATCTGAAATATCAATGGAATAATTTTGTTTCTGACAAAATTTGCAAGGCCTCTAGGATTTATCAGCATTTTTATATTTTGGTGCCTGTCCTTAAGTCTAAACTATCCCTAACCTAACTCTCCTGGCTTCAGCAAAATGAATCAGGGAGGCCAGAAATGGAGTCAGAAGTATAAGATGCTGCTGCACTGACGTGGTGACTCAAGGGTCCATCTTACAGCTGCCTGTCTTAATCTGTGTGAAGTTTCAGATGAAAAAAGGCTCAAAAGACTCTTACTCATACAGAAACCGTGAGCTATGTAATGGCACCGATGACAATAAATTACATCTTTGAAAAATGATGGCACCTTCCAGTCCTGGGACTTGTCTGCACCTCCCATGCACAAGTGCTACAGTGAGCTGTGAAAGGACCACAGTCCCCTTCTTGTGGGGAAGGAGCTAAAAATGGCCACAGAATGCCCAAGGCATTTGCTACTGAGTCAGTGGCAAAATGGGAGCTAAATATAAAAGTCTTGCTGTTTACAGATTAAAATCATAGAATAATTAAGGTTGAAGGGACCTCCACAGGTGTTTCATCCAGCCCCCATGCTCAAGCAAGTGTAGCTTTGGAGTTAGAAGGGGTTGCCAGGGCTTTGTTCAGTCACATATTAAATGTCTCCAAGCATGGATGTTTCGTGACTTCTCTGGACCCCTGCTCCAGTACTCCACCACCTCTGCTGGGAAGGTTTTCCTCACAGCTAACTGAAATTTCCTTTACTGCAACTCCAGCCATTGCTTCTTGTCCCACCTTTGGGCAAATCCAGGAAGAGTCTGGATCCCTCTTCTGGTCCCCTCCTATTAGGGAACTATTAGACACCAATGAGATCTTCCCTTCCCCTTCTCCAGGCTGATCAGATCCAGTTCAGTCTCTCCTTGTACCTCCCATTCTCCAGCCCTGACCATATTGGTGGCCGCTGTTAGACTCATCTCAGCACCTCAACGTCTCCCAGACTGGACACAGCATCCAGATGTAGTCTCACAAGTGTACGATCACATGAGAAAAAAAAAAAAAACAAAACACAAAACTCTTCCCTGGACCTACTTGCTTGCAGTCATGCTGAAACAGCCCAGGACAGGGTGGACCTTTAGACACAGGTTTCAGCTGAATACAAAGCAGCCCATCCACCTCCTCTGCATAGGTAAATGATGATGCTGGCCACATCTGATGTTGTCATCCGTTGTCCAGTGAGAATGGTTATATCTCAAACATCACACTCCCACCGGCACTCCCACTTCTTTCCCCCTCCATCCTGCTTTCTAGAGCTGCATTTTCTTCCTGCTGACTTCTCCTTTCATGGGCTTCACGTGGGCTTCATAGACTCCAAAGCCTGACTCTTGTCCTTGTGAGGACAAGCATGGTCCCTGCACACATGATGCAGATGTGCAGCCCTACCCGTTCAGTGAGGCAAGGGAGGGATCAAGGCTTCATGTCTCAGCTTGGGAACTATCCTTTATCCTTTCTGCCTGGGCATGTTACTGTTTCTTCCCAGAAGACATGTGAGCCATGGGGTAAGAACATAAGGATCTCTAGCTATTGGGGGGGAGAAGAGAGGATTTACCAGCTTCCTGCATGGTCATCAGGAGGGGTAGGTGCCTTGTGTTAGCTGTCCACAGGGAAGGTGCTCTTGGGTTACAGCCCAGGCTGGGACTCAGACTGCCTGCACACAGCTCAATCTGATCACAACTTTCATCACTGCTGAGTTATAACAGCCACTTTTCTTGTGGAGTATCCCAAAGGATGTCACACTGTGGTTTCCCCCACACATGATGGAAATGGCCAAGGCAGAGACTCTGAGAGGGAACTGGCACACTTCCAGGGGCAACAACAGCACTAGAAATGGGGCACATCTTGGTAGGTAGGGATGTACCCTGTGTCCTTGGGGTGTTTGCTCTGGGGCTGTAGCTGTTGCTGTTCCTTTGTTGGCACCTGGCAGAGTCACCCTTGCATTTTTCTGGGGGTCTATAACCAGGCAACTTGAAGGCTGTAAAGTGGAACCCAGACCTGATGTCACTAACCGCCAGGGGTGGACCAAATGCATTGTTCAAAGTGGTCCCCTCTTCAGGATTTGGATCAAAAAGGCTTATTCCTACTTCTTCAAGCCTCCTTCCTCAATTACCAGACACACACACACACACACACACCCTTAGTGGGATCTGCCTTAAATATATAGGGAGAGGAATCTCTAGTAAAGCAACTCAGATGTTTCACCTTCATTTACAACTTTCATTCTAGCATCCCATAACAATGAATATTACTGGCATCACATGGAAGCTAAAGGGTGGTGATGCTCTGAAGTGGTCAGAGAAAAAAAAGAAAGATAAATCTAGTACCTGTAGAAAGTAGGAACTCATGGGATCCTCTTTGATGTCCTCATTGTAGTATAGTCCTCCAACAATGAAGATCTGATTCTCTTTGGTCACCAGACTGATGTGGTTCTTTGGGATTTGAGTAGACAGGGAGGCACAATAGCACTCATTGGCATTGGGATCATAGGCCACTGCTCCACTGTCGCTCACCATGAAAATAAGGTCCTGGAGGAACATCCCAAAGCGCATTGTGTCATTTAAGATCCCTGGGAGAGCATTCTCCTCTGCGTCTTCCTCCTCATCTACTGCTCCATTGACAACATTGTCTTTCACTTGCTTTTCAGTGCTTTTCTTTACTTTCTTCTTCTTCACCACAGTGAATTTACCGTTTTGGGCATCCTTCACCATCTGCAGTTTCTTGAGCAGCTCTGGGCTGGACTTCACCATGGCGTGTTTCTCCACATGGTCCTTGATGTAGTCGTTAGGCATGAGACGGAAGCGGATGCTTTCAAAGATGACAGGTAAGGCCTTCTGACGGCTCTCATGGTCCTTGGTCCCCACCCACTTCATCACTACTTCAAAGACGGTCTCCTCTTTCTCGATATTGAGGGAGTCACTGGAGATGACTGCAATAAGCTCATCGGGGGAGAGCTGGTAGAACTCCTCATCCCGAGACACCAGTGCAAAGCGATCGCAAATGAAATCCCGAGCTGCCACAGCCAGCCGGGCACAATCCAGCATCAAGCCCAGCCTGAAGATAGCCAAGCAGTTGCTGAGGCAGAGTCGCTTCTGCAAGAAGGACACACAGACGGTGAAGATGGAGGGGATCTGGAACATGTTGGCCACAGAGAAGATGTCCTGCACATTCTGCTCTGTGATCTCCAGCTCAGAGGTGTAGATATAATGAAGGATCTTGCCCATGACATCTGGATCAACATCCTCCAAACTGACCTCCCTCTTCTTGCTCTCTTCCATGTCCGAGAGGAACATAGCTCGAAAATACGGGCTGCAAGCTGCCAGCACCAGTCGGTGGCAGGGAAACTCCTTCCCCTTGACTTTTAAGACACAGTCCAGAAACTTATTGTGGTCCAACATGTCTTTGAGTCCATCCTGGAGGAGAGTTTGCTGGTAGAGACGCAGTTCTTCTGCTTGATCAAAAGGCAAACCCATGGTGAAGAGTAACCGCTTCTTTTTTTTTTCCCAATCCTTCTTTTATATATATATATATATGAATATATCTATACCTGAGCCCCTGGTAAAGAAACTTACCCAAAGCAGGGCTTACAGATCTCCCTTGCTTACAGACTGTCAGCACACTGGGAATGTGAAATGCTTGCTACTATTGCAGCTGTCTGTGTACTTCAGTTTTCAACGTAGGGCTTTATATATAGCCACAGCGTTACAAAGCTTAAGGAATTTATACTGGAGCATGTGTAAGCCGATCACCCTTTAATATGACACACTGGACAAGGAGGAAGGTAGGGGGATGGGGGAACAGCTGTAAATCCAGCCTGGATGATTCAAGAAGGGTCTCTCAGTCCATGAGTCACCACGGGGGGAGCAGGAACTTTTGCTGCCATCCCATGATGGGAGACACATGCGACCCATCAGCTCAGTCACCGTGCTTGGGAAACAGCCTCTAGATGAATCAAACATCCCAATCTGCCTTCTGGCTCATGAATGGCAAGGCTGGAGCCTTCTCCTGACACTGCTAAACAGACTGCTCCAAAACTGCTAAACTTTGTGCTGTGCTAAAAATATATCATGAAGTCAAAGCTGAAAAGATGGAGTAAGATGCCTTATGTGGGTTTTGTGGCATCCTAGTCAGCTTGCTCCCAGGGCTGTTTTTCTGCACAGATTTGTCATTTGTTCTCCTCTGGAGTAATTTTCCAGGGGTCTGAAAGGGGGTGGAAAATTAAGATAGAGCTATTTATTTATACCCCTGTGTGGGATACGAGACCTATGCTGGAAGTTACTTTAAAAGTAAGGAGGAGACTTGAGAGGTCTGGGACAGGGATGGCTCTGCCTTGCCTGCAATAAGTGCATGGACCCAAATGCAACAGTCTCTGAACACCTCATCATTAGTCAATCCATCTTTTCCACATCTTGGTGACAGAGAGAGGGTCTGGGGCAGAACAGAATTAAAGAGAGGTCAATGGTGAGCTTCAACTCACAGATTAAGACATCTAAACACAGGTATCTTCTGGTAAGTTGAGGGTGACCTGCTAACACTCCCATGTTGAAGTCTAGAGCCACAGCAGGACAATCTGCCTGGCCTTGAGTTGGTACTTCAGAAGGGCTGAGGTCTCCAGTAGGTCTTGTGCCCTGCTTGCATGCCCATGGATGTCTAGGAAGCTCCACGGGTGCTCAAATGGCTGGTCCAGGTCCAGTGCTTCCCATGGAGCTCATGAAGAAGCAAATTGTTTTTGACAGATGTGTGTGAGCTGAGTAGTTACAATTATTTTCACCTATAGTAAAACTTATATATGAATCTGTTTTATCTCCACTACTATGGACCCTCTGGGCTGGATGGCACTCAGTGATGGCACAGATTTAATTAAGTCTATGGAAAGATATTAGCCACTCTTCTTGGTGTATTTAAAGCCGCGTAACCCCTTATCCTCTCATAGATGTGTTTATAAAAGTGCTTTGTGCCACAATGGTTATCTACATAAGTGGGAAGAGGGAAGGAGCTATACGGATACGAAGCCCTTTTGTAGTGGTGAGGTTCCAGCAGCATCTTCGAGGTACCAGTATAGCAGGAAAATAATCACAAGTTGTTTTCAGAGCTCACATCATAAGCTCTTCTGCTGTGCTGCTCATCTGTGAGGGGATCAGACAACAAGCTCTGATCTTTGAACTGGGTCAATCTTCAGAAATGTTTCTCTGCTCCCAGACATCTGGGGCTGGACAACCCCATCATCCCCTCTCCCCTCCCTTTGCATTAGCTCTGCACTTTCCCAAGTTTAATCCTACCAGCTGGGATTTTTCCCATTCTGCCTTTAATCTTCTTTGAGCCCTGGCTTGTTTTCCTTTTCACTGTGCTGCTCGGCGTGTGCTGCCATCTGAGGTTTGTTTCCATATTCCTCATGTCATGAGGTGCTGCTGCTAAATGCAGCTACAGCCCATCCCTTCTCAGAGGAGTTCCCAACCAATCAGTGGGTCTGTGGCTTCTCCCAAGTTTGTGGTCCACCCAGGGAAAGAGCACTGTGCTGGTCCCAAACCCGCTCTGGGGAAGCAGCCCTGGTTTTTCAAGAGCAGTGTCTCCTCGGTGCACTGTGTCGTTTAGGCTCCCTACAAGCATGGGGAGAGACAGACGTCTCTGGGAGCTGGCTCACTGCACCCAAGTTAGATACTTGCCTGAGATGAGAGGCCTCTGGTGATGTCCACCTGTCCCCATTCATTCTACAGTTTAAATCATTAATTCAGACTAGACACCCATAACTGGTCCCAGGGCCTCCTAATGCCAGCAGTGCTGGGATGCCATCCTCATAATGACTTGTGGCAAGTCATGCATGTCATCCCCTGCCTTATGTTTCCACCATTTTTTGCTGTCAGTTCAATACAGCAGCATCCATCCCAAGGCCTGTCATCAAAATGGGCGTAGATTGCATATATGGCCCAGGCTGGCCATGCAGGCTGTGCTCAATGTGTTAACCTTGACCTCAAATGGTCTGTAAACCTCCCTGGCTCCTGAGCACAGGTGTATTCAGCTCAGATAAGGGTGGTTCATTCCTAAACAAGTATCCACCAGAGCCTGGTGGGACAGAGGGTTGATCTGATGGACCCAAGCCCTGTGAGCAGCTCTGCACCGTGGAGAGACTCACACGGTGCTAACGGGGAGACCCAGGGGTGCTCTCAGAGATACCCTGTACTTCTCCTGAACCCTCCTGGGTCTGAGCTTGAAAAGCCAGCAGTGTTTTATGCAGCTCAGATCCACAGGCTTCCGATTGTCTCACCCACAAGTATTTAGTGTTCAGATTATTTTCCTTCTTACATTTCAGGTTACATGTTTCCAGTCTGGATCTCAAGCACAGTATTTCTTTTTCACTTGTGTGTTTACTTCTTCCTCATTTCTGGTTTTAATTTATTCACACTGGTTTGTCATTACCATTTTATAATCTATACACAGGTAAGTCAATAGGATTTTCTGGGGACTGAACCTTGCTGCTCTGGAGAGCCAAGGGCACATCTGATTGCTATGGGAGACTTTTCTCTGATGATAGCATTGGAATTTGAGGCAGCCATTAATCCTGAGCCCTCTGCAACCATTACCTGTTGTAGATGCTTTGATCACAGTAGACTTGTCCCATCCGTCTTCCGTTTGCCGGGACCACCGTGTAAGATGGTCTCCAAGCAAGTACCAGCTAATCCCAGAGGGATCTAAAAGCAGGTGAGATGGTACATGTGGATGGGATAAGGGTGATCAGTGATCATAGTTACCATTTGGCCATCTCTACGCACACATGAATGGATGAACAGACTCTCCCCAGGGTACTCTCCACCAGAGTTCTGAGTATTGTATAATAGACAACACAGCCCTGAATGGAGGTGGGCTGTTTTCAGATGGCCCTCAGCTCACCGGCCCCAGATCTAACAGGACTACCACTAGTGATTTCCAGTGACCAGTGGACTAAGTCAGTCAGTTATTACATCTGTCACTAAGTGGGAAATAGTCCCACCATGACATGGGAGTGGGTGAGGATACATGGGAAGCATCCTAAGGGGATGCAATGTAGCAGAATCACTCCCTCACATAAAAATTTCAGAACAAGAAAGGTGAATGCAAGAATTATCACCATGTCAGGCTGAATGTGTCCAGTGTAGGGCTATCAATTGGGATTTGTAGTTGCAATAAAGAATTGCTTTTCTTGGCTTCTTAGATGAAATTTGCTAACAGGCAGGCAATAGTCAGATCAGATGATATTCTTTTCCAGGAGAGGGATGAGCAGTTGATAAATCCCATTCTCCAGAGGCATACACTGAGGCTGAGGATCTCCTGCGCAAGGCTGAGCTGGTTGAGGTAGCACCACTTGGGTCCTCCTAACCCACTAGACCTCCTGGGCTTGTAACAGCAACAAGAGCTGAGGGGATAACTTCAGGAAAAGGCAGGGGAAAAGACCAAGTTCTCCCATGAACTGTCTCTAACAAATCACTTGGTGTCTAAGATTAGCTCCTTCTGGCAGCTCCGTCAGATGCAGCTGCTGAGTAAATTTAGATCCTTAGTGAATGGGTTATTTTCTCTCCCAGAGTATCCAAATCAGGAGGGCAGTGCAAAGTCACTGGGCTTTGCCACGTGAGTCACCACCCACTTTGACACTGGGAGGTGGGTGACTCTGTCCTCCTGGACAGCCAGGGACCTGAGCTGAGCCACCTGCAGACAGAGCCCTTGATCTCGGCAGCTCAGGGTGGCCTCACCTGTGTGAGGACAGCTGTATGGAGGAGAAGAGTTGAGTTTTATCCTGGAAGGAAGCACATCACGTCATAGCTGGTTTGGTGGTAGAGAGTAAATTTGAAATAACAGAGACACTAAGAAACATCTCCCAAAGGTCCAGCAGCAGACCTGTGTTAAAAAGGGATGTGCCTGGCAGCTGAAGAGGTTTGGGGCATACGACTAGAGATACCACCAAGGCACAGTACCCGCCCTTCCAACATTTTTGGTCAGGCTCCCAGAAATAAAACCAACATGGCTTTTAACTCAAAAACTACACGGATGACAGTTTGATGGCAGTAGGCTCATGATATTTCACCAGTACAAAGGTGGAGTCAAAATAAAGGTGAATGTGAATTGAGCTGCAGCCAAACCTCCAATCTGGTGAAGCCACTAAGGTGGGGTTTTGTTAAACTCAACAGTGTCTTGTGTCACTGTTAGGGGTTGGAAGTAAGGACCTGCAAGAACAGATCCTTGTGCCTCTCAGCTCTGATGGCAGGGCATTGCTCAGGCTGTCCTCTGCATTACAGCAGCATAACAGTGATGAGCGACAGGCACCATAGATGTCCAACATTTATTTACTACACAAATTAATTACATCTATCAGGGACTTCACAAATTACTTTGGCAGAGCTGAAAGCTGGCTAGGAACCAATCCTGTTTCATCCACAGGGAAGCCAGAATACACCAGCACCAAGTGTCTCAACCCACATTGCAAAGTGGTCTGGATTCTGCCCACACCAAATATTGACATAACTCGGACATAAGGCCACTGCAAGTTACTCTAAAGTGCAAGAGAGCCAGAGCTATTTTTTCAGTTATTAACCCACCTTTTCCCCAAGGCACCATGTTTCACATGTGTACATTTATTCAATGCACTCCCTACGCAGTGTCCCAAAGTCTACTTCTCCAAGGAGGCTATCATGGGCTTTTCCTCCACCACCCAGCCCCCAGTCACTGCCCTTCATTCAGGGTCTTTCTCCTTTGGTTGTATATATGTGTGTGTGCTCATTCAGCCATGCAGTCATGGGCTTAGGCTGTGTGCACCAAAGTCAGCTGAGTAAAGGGATGGCTGGCTGGAGATGTCGGCTACAGCATCTTCTGTTCCTCAGCCACGGGAAGGAATGTGACCTGAAATCTCTGACTATGGTGTGCAAAACACATGAGCGGGATTTGGTTTGAGTGCCAGGACACATATCACAACAGGGTGGTCATGGTGGCCACACTGGTCTCAGACCCAGCAGTGGAGGGCCCTTTGGGTCTGAGTTGGGCCCTGGGGACCAAGCAGTTGTGAACCACTCATTGTGTTTCTCCAGCATGCCTGCTCTCCAGACCTGTACACAACGAGCAATGGCTGTGAAGCAAGTAAGCTCTCGCACTCTCATTAACTACGCCAGATGTTGGCATAAATAATTTTTTTTCATGACATTGAGCACTGAAGGGACCTGTTTTGCAGAGAGTTTAATATCATAACAGCTATCACTCCGCATCATTGTCGGTGGGAAGATAATTACTCTTCAGTGTGCCATCCGTGGTCCTCCTTCTCTTTGCTATAAAGACAGTCCTATTTATTTATTAGCCTCTTGTTATGTATAGACTGTGCTGAGACATCTCACAGTCCTTACTGCACAACCATAGATGCCAAACACTTGAGCGTGGATGCTGACCATTTCTTGTAGTGAAAGAAACACAGGCTGGAAGTGACCTGGAGATGGTGTGCTCTGATCAGGCTCAGCACCAGCTAATCTCTTTCTCATAGCTGTGCCTCTGGCCCACCCTAAAACCTCCAGCCATGGGACTTGGAGTCTCCTCTGGCAGACATGGCTACAGGTCCTGCAGGAGAGATGAGTGCTGGTGGACCAAATGTTACGGGAAGGAGCAGGTAAAATCTCTAGGCCTGCACAATGGCAAAGGGTCAGAAAAATTACCGGGATGTCTCTTTCTGGCACTGAAGAAATGTTCTGGGAGACTACCTCAGCAGTCTGACATGCATGGGAAGTCTGCAAAATGCCCACTGTGTCTTACAGAAAGATCTTTTCTGCAGCAAGAGTGACCTGTGCTTTTCAGGTGACTTCTACATGGGTGAGCTACACCAGTCCGATTGTCAGGAGTGCTTGGATTGCCCTGGCCAGTGGCTGGCCTGGCAGCAGTGGCTGGAAGGGAAATGAGGCTTTGGGACAAGCCTGACGATGCCTCCCTCTACTCCACCTTTGCTTTGTCACACTTCTCCTCCTCGATGGCCAGGATGCGCTCATGCTCTTTGATCAGCTGCACTCCGCAGTACGTGATGAACCAGATGGAGAAGGTGCTGACAGGGAAACCTAGAAGATGGAGGGAGACGTGGTCATCTTGGTGTGGCTGCTTGCCTAATGAGGCCAACACTGCTGCCTCTCAGGTGGGTTTTTGGGAGGTCCCACGAGTACATGATAGCCAATGACATTTTCCGTTGTGGATCCAGCCCTACAGCTTCACTGAGAGAAGAGAGATATCCCCAGGATCTGATTATAGATGGTGCTGTGCCTGAGCTCACCAGGGCATCATGGACTGCAGCTAGTGTGGGAACATGCTGGAGTGGCTTTGAGCACTCTTTTACCCCCAAAACTCCTTTTGCTCCCCAAGTTCAGACTTGATGGTTGACTTTCTGCCCATTCAACCGGCCCATATCCATTGTTGTTCAGCACTGTGACCTTCTGGAAGCTTTGTGCCCTCCTGATGCTAGGGATCAACCCCAGCCTTGTCCCATACCTAGTGAGGACACAGTGTGCACCCAGAGAAACACATGTTTTTGTCACCTAGGTAAGTGACTGAGAGTTGGGAGCTCTCCTTTCACTTAGGAAGGGTCTGATGACGTTTGTAATCATGAGTCTGGTATCCACAGCAGAGAGGAGACACAGGCTTTGTACCTGCTAAAACAGGACCTCCAAAATGAGCAATGCAACCCACAAAAGCCAGCTAGCTCAGCAGGCAGGCACTTCTGGCACACTGAGCCCAGAGCGTCACATTATCTGTTTCAATGCCAGCCCCATCCCAGAGAGGGCTGCATGACGCGGGTTCCTGGTGGCTATTTATACCCTGGGCTGCTCAAGAAGACTTCAAAACAGATAAGACTGTGGCACAAGGATTTGTACCTGTCACCTTCAGGTTGATGCAGGAGTAACTGCTAAAGCAAAAGGAGACGAGGTAGGACAAATAAATCCATTTCTCCATCGAGGGGACCGTTTCACAGCCAGGGACTCAGCGCACCTTGGTGGGGTGAATGTGACCCTTTTTGTTGCTGTAACAAATCTAAATCACAGTGTCAGGCTGTGCTAGGAGCTGTACATGCACACCTGGGAGGCAGCTCACGCCCCAGAGAGCTCACACAAGGAGGGTGGGAGACAAGAAACCACTGCCTGCACCTTTTGAACAAAAATTAAGCATGTTGGGAGCAGCCACATAACAAGCCAGGCCACTTTGGACGCAAGAGGACTCAGAAGTCCCAGTCCTCAGTTCCCCTACCAGTGTTCCCCCAACAAGACAAGGGTCCCTCGATGGGGAGGGGTGGTGGCCTCTTACCCATCAGGAGGAGTCTCTTGGTCACCAGCAGTGCAAACTCTAGGCTGTTGAGGGCTAGGATGTTGTAGAGGACAATGGCCCAGAAATTCGCTGCCCCAAAAACTGCCCTAATCCTCCGAGACATGGCCGCTGACATTTTGGCCTGTGGAGAGAAAAGGAGCAGAGTGTGAGGTAAAATGGGACTGTAAAGAAAGGGGATGCACTAGTCCAACTCCAGCTGGGATCCCAGAGGGGTGGGCAAAAATTAGAGCAGCCTTTAGTATTCTGGGTTGAAGAAACATAAGGACAAGGTAAAATGTCTGCTCTGCTGCTGGACTTAGATGGATTTGAGACTCTGGTGTTTCAAGGTCCCATGGGCAGGGGCAAGATGTTATACAGGGTTTCATGCTTATTGTAATGGCTGAGTACTGCTTTCTTCATCTGTTGCCTTGGGTAAGCCATTCCTCAAAGCAGACGAACACCGCTGTATATCAGAATTATTATTAGCCCTATGTGCAAATCACTCCCAGCTCCTGGTGGAAATTGTTTCTTAGGAATTTAAAAAAAAAAAAAAAAAAAAGCTGGTCACAGCAGCAGAGTGAAATTGTCACTGGCACATAATCCTCAGGAGCAGCTGCTGCAAGTGGAGCGGGGAAGTGGTTTATAGCAATCTTCAAAGAGCATGATGAATCCCCAGGCCACTTAGTGCTGAAAATTGTGGTGCTTCAGGGAAGGCAATTTCACTGCCTGTGAGTGCTATAATCTGATTAGAAGTTCAACGAGGAGAGCAAACGGGAAGATTGCTCTCCAAAGTTTTTATTCAAAAGGGGTCTTTACTGAACTGGTTTAGGACCTCCCGACTTTAGGTTGTGCAAAACAAATAAGCAACAGAATTGTTTCCAGGATGAGTTTCCAAAATTTTTCTTCCAACCCCGAGGCACCTTGGTCCCAAAGAGAGATAGCACTAAGATTTGGAGTGGTTGGAAAATAATTCATTCTAGTATCTAAATATTTGCATTTATCAGAAATCAGATCAAAAACACTCAAGAGTGCCAAGAAGTTTTGCAGAACAAGAAGAACAAATTATTTCCATATGGAAATGTATAAACATTTCCCCACGGACAGACCTCAGATTTTGTGTCCAACTGTGGTACTTCTATGTCTCACTGGGGCTGCATTCCTGGTTCTCTTGGACCTCTGTTTTTCCGCTGAAAAGAACCTAAATTTCCCATGAAGCATGATAGGGGAAGGTGGGAATTTGCTCTGGGTGGGTGACATAATGCATAAAATGAAGGGACATGGAGCATCAGGACTGTGCTGCCCTTGCACAGCTAACTAGCTGATCACAAGGATACTGAAGGCCACAGGAGAGAGCTTCAGGTCTCCATGCAGGAGGCCTGGACGTGGAGATGCATAGCATCATCAGGGATGTTGCTTTTCAGCCTCAGCTGAAAATGGATCTGACTTGCATAAACAAGTTTGAGCTCCCTACAGTCATGGGCATTTTCCAGCACCAGAGTTTGCTCCCCGATCCACTGACCTTCCCCCATCCACCTGCAGCCCAGCTCCTCACCTCCAGTTTGGCAAAGGGCTCCTGCTGGAAGAACTTCTGCACCCAGAGCTCAAAGTTGAGGCCAAAGCAGTTGAAGAGAGACCAGATGTAAACAATCTCACAGGGCCCCAGCCACAGTGTGGTGACAGCAAAGGTGGCGATGGTGGCCACGAGCTCCTTCATAATGTTGTCATGGTTCTCTCCAATATGATCGTACACATACCTAACAGCCAGGGAAAGTGGTCAGTACTCCCCGTAGTCAGGGACACCCCTCTGAAGTCCCTTACTCCATGCCCACCCACCACAAGCTCCTCACAGGCAGGTCAATCTAGAGCACCCCACTGAGAAAGGAAGGATGTTTTGGATTACATGTTCTAGCAATAAACCGATCTTTGCTGCAGTCCAGCTGCTCATGGCTTGTGTCCTTCACAAACCCATAGCTCCTTAAGGATGAAATATCACCCTTTCCCAAGACCCTGAACCTGACTAGAGATGGTTGATCAGACACTTACTTGCATAGCCAGTCATTAATCCCTCTGTCAAAATGCCTACAAGGGAGATGATAAAAAGCATGTTAAAACACTCAGTGTAATGACACCCTTCCACACAGCAGACAGCCAGAGAAGGCACCAAGTCCCCTGGTGAGGTACATCTTGAACCTTGTTCTCAGCAGTTCTCCATGCTCCCTCCTTGAATGGGTCCCATCATTGATGTGGTTGTAACCTCTCTCCTTATCTATTGCTTCCTGCCCAAGAATATTTCCCTGGGCTACAGCCAGGTCTAGACTATAGGCTCAGTATAGACTGTTCAATGCAGGCAGTCTCCAACTCATAGGCCAGCTGCTCAGAAGCACAGCCCAGATGTCCTCCCCCCATGCATGTTTCATTCAGGTCTCTCTTTGTTGATGCGTGTGGGGTACTCACGTTTCTGCAAAGACATAGAGCATTGTGATGCATTTTGGAGGCTGGGGTGGGTCCAAGTGGTCCAGTCTGGCAATGGTGTTGATAACCCCAAACATAACAGCAGCTTTCACCCAGTCGTACACCAAATTGGAGTAGGCCAAGCCAGCTGGAGCAAAAATGAGAGTCAAATGGGTGAAGAGAAACATATTGCCTTCAGGACTTTGGGGGCTATCCTGTCCCATGAGAGCATGTAGTCTATTGCAACAAACATCGAGAGGACAGTCTAATGCTGTCTTGGACCAGCAAAGCTTGTAAAACTAAGTAGCTTTCTAGGAAGCTTGAACCAAAGGACAATATCTTCTTGGGGTATTTGGGAGTAAACTCTTTATTGGTCTTGGTAATCCAAGAAAGTCATACGGATCTCATTTCTTCCAGCGCAAAATCACTCCTTCCCTCTAAGGCTTGTTAACCTATGATGAACTCATCACAGTTCTCAACTCTGACCTCTGAGGTTTTACTGACACCTCCATCAAAATGCCCCCCACCTCAGCTCTTTGTGGCTATAGATGTAATGTTGATGCTACAGCAGAGCCAGGGCCAGAACCTCTGTCTTGGAGAGGTGTCTGACACCTGAAGACAAACCCTGCAGGAACAAACACTGAAGATTTCAAATTCCTATGCAAGCAGAAGCTAAAATGCCCCCATCTTGGTGGGATTCAGCTCACAGATTAAGGGCCATCCAGTGCCTCATGTGAGCCGTGCATGAGGTCACACTATGGACCAAGCAGATCTGGTCAACAAGTCAGCAGAGCTTGCAGAGAAGCTGAGCTCCCTCTGGAGTATCACACATGCTTGGTCAGCCCACCCAGGACACTCTAAATCAATGCTAGTGCCATTCTAGCTCCATTAGGATCTTCTCCTGGCCTCCAGCTGCCACTCTGGAGAGACATGGGGCTCCTCTATCCCCTGTTTACCTTCTGCCCATGTGGATGTCAGATACCCTACGGCACCTCAGATGCTGCCATCAGACATGTATTTGGCCAGCTGAAACCCTCTGTCCAGCGGTCAGATGAATGCCAGTGCTGCTACCATTACTCATCCTGGGAGTTTGGCTTCTGGAGGTCCCTAGTCCAGCCCTTCTCAGACAATAGCCAACTTTAAATGGAGCCTATGCCCTGGGGCCATTTCAGTGGCCCACAAACACTCATGGTGGGTGGCCACCTTCGAAGGCATCTGGGATACCAGATGTGTCCCTTGCAACAGCATGGGGCTGATATTTTGGAGGTGCTGAGCTGCCTTCCAGTCCAGACAAAGGCAATGGGGATGGCTTGGTGCTCAACCTCTTAAACCCTGAGCTAAACAATTTACAGTGGGACCCTGTGAGAATGTCAGACCAACACCATCTGCATTCCAGGGCTGCCTGGCCCCAGATCTGTGCATTGTCAATGGGAAGAAGAGGGGCTTTACTCAAACCTGTCCAACATAGGCATTGTCAAAGTCTCTCAACAGGGGTGGATGGAGATCTGACTCACTCACCACGGTGAAGGTGTGAATGTGTCCAAGCACAGCCACTCACCCAAGGACCAGTCTGAGAGGCGGTTGATGAACTTCAGGTCGGAAGGGAGGGTGAGGATGTAGAAGAAGTGGAAAAAGATGTCCACAGCAATGATGGCCCCAACATGAAGGAGGGCATGGACCCGGATATTCCTCATCTCATCGTCTTTGCGTTTTAGCTCTCGGGTGCTCACCTGCCAGGATGGCAAACCAGGAAAGGGCTGTGCTGAGAGACATGATGGGCAGCATGTTCCTCCATCCAGAGAAATGGGCAAGGTTCAAATGGGGACTCAGTGCTCTTCTTTAGAAGTCACACCGTGGACTACCTGGTCCAAATCTCCATCGATTAAGGAAGACCCAAGGGACTAGCTCAGGTGAACACGTCCACAAGGAGCAGGACATATCCCACTCACAGCATCCCTCCAGCACCCCCGCTCAGTGCTGAGCAGGGCAGCAATGTACCTCCTGGATCACCCTCCTGGCAAAGGCTGTTCCCATCACTGGGGTGTCCGGCAGAGCAGGCACATGGTATGACACAGCAGTGACAGGTCTGGCTGTACCTCAGGGACCCTATGTGGGATGAAATCCATACTAACCAGGGAGCTGGCTTTGATGCTCTTTCTGTGGGGACATGTTCAGAAAGTCAGCTTTGCTTAAGGGTGGCCCCTTGCACAGGTCATTAAGTGAGAACAAATGCCATCACATCTACAGGATGCCACAGCCTGTAGGGAAGGACATCTGCATGCCCAGGAGAGGTTGGGAGCAGGGCTGGAATCCCACCTGACAGCTCTGCCAGGGCCAGATGCATACTTTTGGCCAGGGTAATTTGGGAAGAGGAGGCAGATGACTGGTGGTCTCTGGAGCTTCTGTTGCAGACACATTCTGTAAATGAGAGGGAGAGCTGCCTGAGGGGCCATCCTGAATCGGTTGGGATCTGATCGATGGGGATTTTGTCTCTGCTGTGTCTTTACAAACAGGGGCTGGGCTTTGCCTCCAGGAGCTGTCATGTCTCTGGCCGTTGTAATATAAAAATAATCAGAGCAAGCTTTCAGGATTACACTGGGCAGACTGATGCTTCCCCGCATCACCGTAAAAATTGCTGCAAAATCCCCTTATTTTTATTACTTCCCCTTTATTCCCTGCGAGAGGTGGGAGCTCTCCCAACGTAATCTGCAGGCTGCTGTAAAATCCAGATGATTTCCGAGAATTAAAGCCTTTACCAGATTTTTTTCGTGTCTGTTATATGCCAAGTGCTTTAAGGATACAAAGAGACTACTGACCCTGAGCTGGAGGAGAAGCTGAGGGAAAAGAAGCTCTGGCATGGAGACATGTGGGAGGACACAGAGCCCCCCCCCCTTCATAGAATCATAAAGTCATTTAGGTTGGAAAAGACCTTTAAGATCATTGAGTTCAACCATTAACCCAACACTGCCAAGTCTATCACTAAACCATATTCCGAAGAGGCACATCTACATGGGTTTTTTTAAATACCTCCAGAGATGGTGCCTCAACCACTTCTCTGGTCTGCCTGTTCCAATACTTAACAATCCTTTTGGTGAAGAAATTTTTCTTAATATCCAATCTAAACCTCCCCTGGTTCAACTTGAGGACTTTTCCTCCCGGCCTCATGTCTGCATGTGGTGGCAGCACTCTGTCACCATCCCCTTGGGTTCAGGGCTGTGTCCCCCACGCTTCAGCCCTACAGAAGTGAATTTGTTCCCTTTGTCTTAGTGAGAAAGATGCTTTTCAGCTCAAATGGGGCTGGCCAAGCCCCGGACAGATGAGTTCCCATCACACATGGGGGTGCAAGGGCTTCACCAGGATGTAACAGCAGTAGGAGCCAAAGAGACAGATCTGTTCCCTAACTGAGCCATACGCCCCACCCTGGGGAAGGGAATAATTTGCCTGTCCTCCCCATAATTGCTGTTGGGCAATTAGGAATTCACCACTCCAACTAGTTGCAGCTCCAGCAGTGCAGGGGGACATCTAGCCAGGAGATGGCAGTGGTGGCCAGGCCAAGACAGGACCCCGGGCTGGGGCATTAGGAAAGGGGTAGGGGACTTATTCTTGTGTCTTTGGGGTGAGCATTTTAAGCAGCGGAGGGGACAATTGCTCATTAAGGGCTCTGGACATCCTGGTTTGGGGCTGTGCAAAGGAGCAGGAAATAAAATCCCATCCAGATCAAGCCTTGTAGTAGTGGTGGGAGCTCAGGTCTTCGAGACGTGAGGAGTTTAATGCCCTGATTTACAGATACCTGGCTGCAGTGTTAGGAGAAACCAGGGCTGAACATTTCATAGGACAGACTGATGGGAACTGGGGAAGGAAGAGGAACATGGGGTGAGGAGGGCGCCCCAGGGTACTGTACCACTTCTGGAGGGGCTTGGACAGGGGGGCTGCTGGAGCCAGGCTGGCCTGGACTTCAGCCTGACAGATAAGACACGACTGGAAAGATGAAGCTTTAGGATGAAACTTTCCTTCCAGCAGCCTAGGGGGAAGAGCCCACCAGTGGCCTGGCCATCCCTGGTGCTTATCTGCTGAGAATGGTCTGCTGGTAGACTCAGGGTACCACAAGCATCCCGTATGGGGGACACCAGAGCTGGCCTTACGATCTTCAGGGTCAAATGCTCTAAAAGTCCTTTTAAATGGATCCAGCAAGATCCAATATGCAGCACGAGGTTGTTGACTCCCCAGGTGAACAAACCAGTGAGGAGCAGGACTTGAATCAGGGCTAATCCTGCTCACTGGTGGGAAAAAGACCAGTGCAGACCCTTCCTTAGACAACCAGTACCAGTCCAATGTTGGAGAGAAGGTGCTGGGCTGCATAGGTCTTTGGTCTCCTCCTCATCAGGGAGACTCTGGCTGCTCTCCCCTGCCCTGGGCTGCTTTTTCTTATGAATTCACAAATGTTTTTCCAAAATGCTGTTGCACCCAGATATCAACTGGGGTCTAAAAAAGCTGTTTTTCAAAAGTAAGCAGAGGGGTTGTGGCAATCCTTCCCAGCCCCATTGCTGACCGAGCAAGAGGTCCTTCCCTTAGCGTACCAGCTTGCTTTGATGACCAAGGTCGATCATTGGTGTAAAATGAGGTTGAGATGGAAAGTTTGAGGAAGGAGAGAGCACTGCTGTTTTGCTTGATCTCTGGCTGTGAAATAGTCACAGAGGTTGAGGCTGGTCCCAGCACAGGCTTCTGCTGATGTATTCCAGTGCTGCTTGGATTCTGCTTGTCAAAAAACTCCCTTGGTTGTGTGTGATACAAGCAAAGACTTGGGGCACCAGGGTATTTCATGGAGAACAGAGGAAGCCCCTGGCTGCTGAAACATAGCCTTCCACCCAACCTTACTTATTTCTAGAGAAATAACTTAATCTTAAGATACAGAGACCAGCCCCAGAAATTCATGCTCCTTAGGTGAACGAGCTAGATGGAAATGTGAGACTTCCCATGCTGTCACAGCCACCACAAATGGGCACCACATGTCTGGCTCTCACTGTGGCCTCCCAGCACACACAGTGGGGCAGCATGGAGCTGCTGGGGTGACAGCACATGGAAACGGAGGCACTGAGCAGCACAGGTGCCCAGTGAGCAAGGACGTGAGCTGAATCCTCCCTGCTTCATCCCAGCACGATGCTTTCACCACAACAATGTCTTCCCTTCTGAACTGATCAGTGGAAATGGCCAAAAGTGGGGTTTTGTAGGCATTAAACCCAAATAAATAAATGCAGGGAGCAGTCCTCCTCCCACCCAGCTTCAGGAGCACTCACCTGGGTGTGGAACTGGTCAAACGTCATGACAGGCCCAAAGAAGAAGAATGGAAGGTAGAAGTTGTACTTGAGGAGGTCCAAGATGGAGTAGATGCCCTCTTTCCTCTTGGAGCTCTCAAGGGCAAAGCTCATGCAGCGCATGATGGTGAAGCCACTTCCTCCACAGAAGAGGACATCTTGAAGATCAAAAGCTCCTGTTACAAACCCTCTCTGGATGAGAAACGAAGAGTTACCACCAGGAACGTGGCATCACTTCTATGCTCCCTCGCTTTGTGGAGGACATCACTCTGGGGACAGCTGGCAAGGCCTCTAAATATGCTCTGACACCAATTGTCCCTGGAGTTAATGAGCCTTGCTGTTGGAAAAAGAAAACTGGGGCTTGATTTCCCAGCTGGCTTCTGCATCTGGAGGAGCCGGGAAGTGATAGTTGCTCTTGGCCACGTCTTTACCAAGCAGCTGTGGGCCATGCAGACTTTGGTTTGGGGTAGGAATGTCACCCTGTCACAGGGACATAATTCTCCCCAGGGAGTGAAGAAAAGCCAGCACAAGCCTGATAGAGATGGAGGGAACACATTCCAGGAGGTAAGCAGCAGGCAGAGAGAGAGCATTGTCCTTCAGAGGGACTGAATAGCTCATAAGGTCCTTCCTGGCATTTTCTCTACCCACTAGTGTCAGAAAGTCTTAACTGGTCAGAGACCTAAGATAAAGGCACGGGCATTGCTGAACCTATGCCAGCACTGTGTTACAGATCAGGAAACTGAGGCACAGGGCAGGAACACACCTTGCCTGGCTGACAAACTGTTGTCTGAGCAACAAGGAGCACTCAGGTGTCCTGAGCTCTGGCCCAGCATGAAGCCACCAAAATACAACATAGCCCCCACGGGATTGTTCCCAAACTGAGTGACACAACAGCCAACTCCCTCTCAAACCCTGGGGGAGCTCTGACATAGCCAGGAGAAGTGCCCAGGGTTTGGAGGTGCCTCAGGAGCCCTCCTTGGAGGGCAAACCCAGGAGACAGGTGCAAGTGGGCTGGAATGAGGCAGACGTGGCCCGAGACAGCACCTACTTGCCATGAGATGAATGGTTCAACCTTGAAGGAGGCAAGACAGCAGAGTCCGGCCACATAGCAGAGCCACTTCTGCTTGGCCAGTGCAACGGAGTAGAGGACAAGGCAGTGGGAGAGAATGATCATCAGGTAGATGAGTCCCATGCTGCCCAGCACAGCCGAGATCCCGTACAGCATGTACACCACAGCACGATGCTGCAAGAAGACAACAGCCCCGACTCGTCGTCAGCTTGGTAAAAGCCACAACCCTGCTCCCTCTATCCTAGAACACCCCCCCCCATCCTAGAACATCCCTCAAGCCCCCTCCACAGATCCCAGGTCACCCTGGTGCTTTCAAATCTGTCCCACCACATCCCTGTCTCACCTGTGGCACTGTCATGGAGCAGATCTTGCCGAATATGACATGTCCTGAGAGAGCGAAGATGATGACGTTCCTGAACGAGGTGAACCACATCACCCACTCAAAATCAGCCATGTCCTGTGGGAGCAGAACCAGGTGTCTTCCTGTCCCCAGCCCCTGCACCCCTGCCCCATCACCCATCTGGAGGGGAAACCTTTCAAAGCCTTTCAAACAACTTCAAAGACTTTTTACTCCCATTTTCTACCCAAGGGCTCCCAAGCACTTTAGCATGGTCATAAAACCCCAGCAAAAATGGGCAATGATTGCTCGTCTCGGCGCACACAAAGCAGAGCATCCATGGTGCTGCAGGGTTGATATTTTTCTGACTAGATCCTTAGGGAGAAAAATAAGAGTCACGTGGACTTTGAAAAAGTGTGTCAGCAGCAGAAAGAACAGCTTCTCCAGCGGTCAGCACCAGCCGTGTCACAGTAGCCACAACAGATTGAGTCCTTCCTTCACTTACCATCTTCCTGCCAAAGTAGTGCCAGCCTGGCTTTATGCCATCCCGAAAGGCCTTTCTGTTCATGCTGTCTGCAAAAGAACCGGAGTTACAGGGAGAGAAATAACTCTGGGAAACGGGGCCCAGGTTTTGGCAAGGCAGGGAGCCTTTCTCACCACGATGATGAAGCCATCAGGGCTCAAACACCCCATCCCAAAAGTCTCTAATTCCCATGGTCAGCCATAGGCATCAGGAAGCTCAATTGTTTCTGCAAGAATTTCCAGCAAAGCCTTTTTGCAGTGCACACCTCAGGGACCCCCAGCTTATCCCATGAAATTTTCAGGTTGTCTGGGCTTCCAGACAAAAAAATTGAGAACCTGTGTAGGCAGGGTGGTTGTCTGTTGAGGGCACCGGCTGGAGAGTTGTGATGTGCCACAGCCTCTTGCTCTGAGCCATGGAAATAGGGTCAAGGGGGCAACCAAGCAAAAAAGTCAAAAATTTTTTTGAGCCTTTGCAAAGGATTCCCAAGCTCTTCTTTAAAAAAAATAATAAAAAAATAAAGCCAGAGATCTGCTGCTGGTATTGACAGCTCTAAAAGCAGACACCTTACATCCATCCTCCCTCCCAGGCCCCCCTCCGGGGGGATGCGGTGGGGAGCGTTACCTCTAGACGCTTCAAAGATCCCGCTGCCACTGTACACCACAGCGCATGTCACGGCAAGAGCGTAAAATCCCAGTTCGTAGCTGGGGAGCATCGTTTTAACCCCCATGGCAGTAGGTTACCACCCCAGGCAGTGTGGGGTGTCCAGACCTGGGAAAGGGAAGGAGGAGAGGAAAGAAAACCAGGGAGGAGAGCTCACCTTCCCTCGTACCCCTCAAACATCCTAAATTGTTGCTGGTGCTTGGCACCTCTGCTTTGTGGACTTCCTCGAAGGCTGGCAGAGAAGAAGGAGACAGTGACACCTGGGGCTGAACCCGGGGACACAACTCACATGCGGGGAAGGAGGCTGCTGCTGAGCCTTGCCGCAAAATCCATCCAGGATCCATCCAGGATCTGGGAGCAGTTCGGCCGGGTGGTGCTGATAAAGGGCTCTTCCCAGCAAGGTGTGTCCATCCCAACATTCAGAGATGCTCTGGGATGCCAGCTGCCCAGGATGGGGTTCCTCCAGCGTGTTTCTGATATTACCCCCCATCGCCCACCCCCAAATTACTAATTGGATCCTTGGAGGGGATCCAGGATAGAGCACAAAGATGCCCGTGCCTGAGGGGATGGGATGGGATGGGATGGGATGGGATGGGACTGTCTCTTATA